GAACTCATTGTCATTTGCATGTTGAAGAAATTTTAAACATATTTAAAGTTAGAATCATTATAATTTCGTGTTAGAATTTAAAAATTAGACATTTAGTTGGTTTTAGTATTTTTACAATAGACTAGGGAGCTTGTAAATATTTAGGTAAAGTGGATCATTTCAAATTTAACTAAATTTTTTAATTTACGTTTTATAATTAGTAAACTAAAACGAACAATCCTTACAAAGTCTAGATCTCATTATATGTTTTGACCAGAAAAAGTAAAAGACTTAAATCACTTGCAACTTTCATTTTCAACTTTATTATTTTAGTGCATTGACATATATTACTCTTATCAATCTTAATAACTTGGTGTTTTTTTGTTTTTTATCACACACACCTATATGGAATAGATTGATGAACTAGGGCTAAATAAAGCCTAAGTTAGAGAATTACAAATAAGTTAAGAAATAGTTGCATTCTTTCTATCTACGCCCCGCTCCCTTCAAGATTAAAGAGTGTCTATTTTTTATAAGAAAATGGGCTAGCATGTTTCCATTTCTTTTTTTGCATGAGAGGAAAGAAAGTTAAAATTTAAACAATTTCTCTTTACACATAGTACACTTCTTTCAGATCTTTGACAAAAAAATCTAAAATACTTTTAGAATTTGGATATGCATATCAGAACATACCATCAACGTTTTTTTTTTTAAATTTACTTCAAATATACATATCTGAATTCACCTGATGGCCTAGTTCGGAAATACATATCTGAATTTATTTCCGGGACATAACTATCAACATAATTCATAACATTGATTCAACATAATTCAAGAAACTACATAAATAGTTGTGCAGAAATTTCAAATTACAAATCGTTATAAACGCGTAGTTGAGGACGTTGCAATATTTTGATAACATCTTTTGTCGATCTTTGAAGTTTCGCATCCATCTCAATCAGACCCTTAGAAGAGTATCGTTGAAAAGTACCCCACATAACCTTTAAATTGTCGTCATTCTTGAGCTAAAACAGATTAAACTTTATGTTTCCTTTAGTGTCAAATGAAGGTAAACGATACTCAAGCTTAATCACCTTTCAGTTCTCTAGATATCGCAAGAGAGAATGCAGTATGGTAATGAGCTCGACGAACGGGGTGCCCTGCAAGAACCTGAACTGAAGTGGCGACTGCGCACCACAGAAGTAGACAAAAGTAAGACGTGGATAAGTTTGTGTCATTTCTGGTTGTGGTTTGTGTTGGGAAATGAAAAGGTTTGAAGACCCAATTTATAGCCTTTTAGAGAAATTTAGACCAAAGAAATCTTATCAGGACATATTTCGAAAATGAACATCCGAATTAAATTTTTTAAACCAAAATAAGGGGTTTTCGGAAATACACATCCGAAAATACCCCATTTTTTATATAAAAATAGGAGGTACATTCAGAAGTGCATATCCAAAATAAGTCATGTGTTGTTTTTTTTCAATTGAAGGTGAATTCAGAAGTGCATATCTGAAATAAGTCATGTGTTGTTTTTTTTAGTTGAAGGATAATACGGAAGTGTATATCTGGATATGTACTTCCAAAAGAACCTATCAACATCTTTCAGATATGCATATCCAAAACAACCTTTGAAATTTAAAATTCAACGTTTAAGTATTAAAATGTGGAAAAAAGAGTGTCTTTAGATATGCATATCCAAAACATGCTGATAGGTACGTTCAGAAGAGTATATCTAAAAGATATTTTCTAGTTTTCGGAGGTGAAAATCACATATACTAAGTATAAAAAGAAATTCTCTAAATTTTATCTGTCTCTAACCGGTTACACAAAATTTATAATCGATTACAGTTATTTCAACAAACTTAAAAACATAATTGTGGTAGTCAGTTACTATGAATGCATAACCAGTTAAGCCCTCGAGACAACTTTCCATTTTCAACTTTGACATTTTAGCACAACTATAACTGGTTACACCCCCGTGGTAACCAGTTAGAGCACTTGAGTTATTGGATTTTCACTTAACACGCCACCTTAATTCAAGTGCTCCAAATCTTTCATGTACATGTTCATCTTCAATCTCTTGAACACTTTAATTGTGACTCTCTTGATCAATAAATCAACCACTTGGGCTTCACTTCTACAATATCCCAATCTCAACCATCCTTCACTAACAAGTTCTCTCAAGTAGTGAAACCTCATATCAATATGCTTGTTCCTCAAATGTGCAATTGGGTTCTTAGCAAGGTTTATAGAGGAAACATTATCAACCATGAATGTTACAACGTCACCCCCGTCGCTGCCCAGCTTCTTTAATAGATTCATTAACCACACGACTTGGCATACACACAATGAAGCAGCAATGTAATCGGCCTCATAAGATGAGATTTCTACTACTAGTTCCTTCTTCAAACACCATGAGGTTAATGTTTCACCGAACATAAATATGTATCTGATTGTAGACTTTAGATCATCTTTATCTGCGTACCAATTGGAATTAGTAAAACCGAGAAAATTGAATTTTCTACCTGTGTCCGCTGCGAGAAAGAGAATTCCACAGCCAATCGATCATTTGACGTATCTTAGAATCCTCTTGACTGTTGCCTAGTGAGACACCTTTAGTCTGACCATAAATCTACTTGCAATATTGTCACTCTAAATGCCAAATCTGGTCGTGTATTGCACAAGTAACGCAAGTATCCAATTAGCCTCCTATATTAAGTTAGATTATTATCATGCGCATCCTCTTTCTAGGACAATTGTAGTCTCGGTTCAATTGGAATAATGATAGTATTACAATTATCTATTTCTAACTTCTTCAAAATCTCAAACGCATACCTTATTTGGTGCATGAACAGTCCTTTCTTGGACTTGTGAAACTCAATGCCAAAGAATCATGTCTTGATGCCAAGGCCGGTCACCTAAAACTCTTTCATAAGCCCGCTCTTAAACTTAGAAGTGCTATTTTCGTCACTGTCCATAATCAAAAAAATTTCTATGTATATACAAAAGATTATCACTCCTTCACTTGTATCCTTATTCACATACACACCATGTTCGGATGTATACTTCTTGAAGCCAATATCCTTTAAGAAACCAATTATCCTCTTGTCCTAAGCTCTTTGAGCTTATTTCAAATTGTACAAAGTTTTCTTCAACTTGTAGAACTTTAACTCTTGATTTTTCACAACAAAACCAGGGGGATGTTTTACATATACCTCCTCTTCAAGCAGTTCGTTCAAAAATGCATATTTGACACTCATTTGATAGATGGATCAAATTTTGTTATTCGCATACCAATAACTAGTCTAATGGTATCAATTCTAGCAACTTGTTCAAATACCTCTTCAAAGTATATGCCTTCTCTTTGCAAAAATCCATTTGTAACTAATCGAGCCTTATGTTTGATTATTTCACCCTTGGGATTTTCCTTCATCTTATAGACCCATCTTACACCATTCCGCTTTTTTCCTTTCGGTAGATCAAATAACTACCTAGTCTTTTTTTTTCTTAATAGATTCCAGCTCCTCCTTCATAGCACAAATACATTTTAGATAACTCAAGGCCTCTTCCATTTTCACGGGTTCAGATTCGGCCATGGGTGAAAAATGGACTAAATCACCATCATCATTGACTTCATTGTCTCAGAATAACTCACAATCTTGGAGTCTTGGAGGTTGTAGCGATAAAAAATGTAGCGGGGTAAATCGGAGATCGAATTATTGATTAATTCGTCTCACAAAAGCAAGAGTCGCCACCGCGCTTTATTGTTTCCAAAGGAAAAGGGAAAAGAGCGAAATAAAACCCTAAATATGCAATGTAAATAAAAATACAAATACAAAGCGTTTTTGAAAAGAGATCTTATGGTTCGGGGGTTGGTTATACAATGGGAAGGTATTAGCACCCAATGCATCTATAGTACTCTATAGGAACCTTTTGAAATATCTGTTTTATTTAAAATTGATTGCTTGATTGAAAATAAATCGTTTTGGACGAAAAGGGATATGGACGGGTTTTTGAAAATACGACGACCTAATGTCGAAGTTTTGGCTTAAAAGGTATAAGTCTTGAAAAGGTTGAAATTTTGAAGAAAGGTGAATATTTGAGGAAAATTAACCTAAGTTTTTAATGAATGAGAGTATTCGCTCGATCGTTTTTTTGAGGACATGAAGTCAACAAAAATTAGACAATTCCCTTTGGATTGACGCAAACAGAATAATCAAGTAAATGCGAAATATTTAAACAGAAAATTATGAGATAAATGATATACAACAAATTAAATAAAAGACTGAGTGTGTGAACATGCATTTTTTAGATTTTTGTTTAATATATGAAGAGAAAAATGTTTTAATTGGTTACGCATTTTAACATAGATAAAAAATAACGAGAATTAATAAAAATGTTTTTTAAGGTTTTATATGTTTTTATTTTTTTTTGTCTTTTTTTGTATTAGTATTTAATCAAAACGAGGGGAATAAATTAAAGGAAAAATAGCATGTCTTTTAGTTTTCTCATTTTTTACTTTCATAGGTTTTTAGAGATATTAAATATTTTTCAAATTAAATAAAACTTACAAGTCAAATATCTAATTAAAATAAGGAAGACTAAAATTATTAAATAAACCTAAACTTAGATTAAATAAGATTTGGGTAAAATATTAAAATTATCTATTTGAAATTATATGTTATTCCTAAGGAATTAATTAATCTAAATTAAATAAGTTAAGAAAATGAAATAAATAGGATTAAACAAAAGGGTAAATAGAAGATGGGGTATGAATAGCAAATAGAATGGGCTTAAGCTAAAAAAGAAAAATGAGTTGGGTTGAGGGAAATGGAGCGGGTCATGGGAGGACCCAGACCCAGGAAGAAGAACACAATGCTGTGAAAAAAAATCTTAAGAATGCTGTGCCGTGGCCGCCGCTGGTGGCTGTCTAAAACGCTAGATTATTCCACGCGTTTCTTTCTCTCTTTGATTCACAAATTAATCCTCCCAAAACGAAAGCCAACTCTCAACGATTCTCACGAGGAAACAAGGAAATGGGTCACAGTGATGATAATGAAGATTGTGGTTGTCGGAAATTGAAGGACGGTTCGATAGTAATGAGGTGATGAGCTTCGCAGATTGCAGTTTGACGCGATGGATGATGAAGGGTGGTGGAGATTGAGTGAGGTTACGATGATTGTGATAATAGTGGTTAAGGGTGTTTGTCGCGGAATTGAGACGAGATTGTTGGGAAGAGAAGAGGAAGCATATGCAGCCAAGGATTGTGCTTTGAGTTTCAAAAGCATCTGTTTTTGGCGTGCTAGCTGAACTCGCAATTGACGATTCTCGTTTTGTAGCCCAAGTATCAGCTTTGCCTGGTCTTTTTCTGTTTTAGGTACCGGTAATAGATCCTCGTTTGCATCAGGTGCCTTTGTTCGAATCTCCTTTGCTCTATCAGCCCAATGAAGGGTGTTTTGAGTTTCACCAAATGAGAGGATACTCGGGCTTATGTTTGCAATCATGACGGTGTTGCAAGTTCCTCCTAATGAATCTTTGAGAAGCTGGGTTAGTTTAGAATTTCGGTATGGAATGTGCTTCTTGCCCTCTACAAGAGCATTGATGCAGCTGCTTAGTGCAAGAAGAGACCGGTTAATGTTGGCACCCTCAAGAGACCTAAGTGTTCTTTGATCTGTGGCAAGAGCTCTCTCTGACCCTGCAAGATCAATCAATGAAAGTTTGCCCACTCCGTGAATAATATTCATTGCAGCATCTCTAACTCGGTATTCAACCACGACCTGCAAAACAGCATGAGAACGTGAAGATGTTTCATTTGCACGAGTTGGTTCCGTAGTTCTATTACGATTTCCCTGCTGAAGCAATGCCATCACTTCATCGGTGGAGTAAGCTCTGTATTGCGTAAGACCTGCTGCCACAATCCCCTGTTTATCTTCTCTCAAAACAAGAGGCCTTCCAGGTGAAATCAAATCTCTTACAGTTTCATTATAAACCTCAAGATAGGACAGATGAACTACATGGTTTCCATCATAGCTTCTGATCCTGATTTTACTGAAGAGATCCTTAATTGCCAACACCATCACTCCCGGGTTTTCCACAGTACCAAGCATTGTGTATGTTTTTCCAGCTCCAGTGGCATCATAACAGAAAACTGTCCCATTCTTCCCTTGCATAACTGCTTCCACAAGTTCCGAGGTTGATGTAGAATACACTTCCTGTTGAGTAGCCGAATCAGAAAAGCATGCATCAAAAGTGAAATGACCTCCTCGAATCCTCTTCAACCTCAAGTAATCGTTAGGAGTAGCGAATTCCGTCATATAAATATGAGAAGAATCCACAATCTTGACACAACACCTGGAACCCGCTTCCTTTTCCTTCTTAGCAAGTGGCCTCACTCTCACAAACACCATTATCCTGTTCCCATTTTTCTCCCGAACCACAGCATTATTCTTTAGGGTTTCTGTATGATTGTCTTCTTGTGGAGGCTTGAAAGAAGCGTTGTTGAATTTCTGCTGCTCGTACAAGAGAGTCAGGGCTTTCAGTTTCTCCTTTAAACCTTGATGTGGTGGTTTTGAGTTAGATCGAGTTGAAACTGTCATTGTATAGCTCGTTGAGTTTGAGATTTAGGTTTTGATCAAATTTCATAATCTGCTCCAATCACGTAGAGTGTGGGTGAAATGAAAGATGAAAGTGTTTTGGGAAGGAGGATATCGTTGTGTCAGTTGCGGATTTGAGAGTGGCAGAAGAATTGAATGAAGATGATAGCGATGAACCGCGAAGTCCGAATGGGTAAATGAAAAAAAGGTTTGAGAATTCTATATTGTTTTCAAGTTGATTTTAAATTAACGGTGTTTATAATTGTGTTGGTCTTGCAACATTATGAGTTTTGAAATTTTATCTATTGAGTTATTGCCGGTGTTAGTATAGGGATTTAATGTGTTGCTGTAACAGGGCAGGGGTAAGATTGACGAAGGCAAAGACGTTAAGACCAGCAATGATTTTAAATGGCCATTTAACATGATTTCAAGAAATTAAAGAGAGTATTATTAAGTGAGACAAAGGCAACGCAACGGTATAAAGGTTTATGCGAAAAACTGAAGAAACTCACATGGTCGGAGCTAGTCCGACGGTACAATTCCGGCGAAGTCAGGTAAGCTCCGAAGATTCCTCGCTCTTTGCTTTCTGCTACTAATTCTTCTCTTCTTCTTCGTCTAAAAAAAACTGGTTGGAATATTGAATAATTGGTTTTTTGGATGGATTTGGATTATACTGTTTTTTATGGTTTTGATACAGTATGCAGGTTATGTGGTTTTATGCTATGCAAAATGATTTGGCAGTAGGTTATGTGATTTAACCATATGCTATGGTTTTTGAAAGGTTTAGATGTAGGTTATGTGATTTTTGCCTTGGAGCAGAAAAGATGATTTGCTTTTTGGTTATCTTTGAATAGTTTTTGCAGTGATGTGGTTTTGCAAATGGACTATGGTATTTTGCTTGGTAGTCTTGTGTAGTATGCAGGTTATGGTTCTGTAGAGATATGCTATGCAGTGATGTTCTGGTGTAGTGTTACTATGCAAGTTAAGACTTCCCTTTTGAAGGGATTTTCTTCTCATATAGCCGTTGCCTCTTTGATGGCTCAGGTTTGAGTATATTAATATATTTTTCTGATGTTCTGCATATAGGCTGCTACATATGATTTTGACTTTATTCCTATTTCAAGCTTAAATCCAAACCTGCAAAACTGAACCTCTTCTCTCTTCTCTCTCAAGTACATAAATGATACATAAAAATGATATCTTGTACTGCTGTCTGAAAAAGCAAACAGGCTGGAATATGATGAAAAATGGAAACATATATTGCTTGCATTCCTTGTTTTAAAATTGCATATCTCTTCTTTTGTCTTGCATGGGAGCCTATGTTATTCTCCTATAAGGATGCAGGTTAACGTTGGCTTGTTGTTTGTGAACTTGCATATGCTGTTTTGTATGGTTTATGCAGTTTTGACCAAAATTGAATTTATGCATATTTGAAATATGCAGTGGGCTTTTTTTGATAAAAATGCAATTAATTTTGAAATGTGCTATTTTTTAATTATGCATTCATAAAAATTCCTCCCTTTTTGTGAACCGGGAGAAATCCCGCGATTTGCAAAAAGGGCAAACTGATTCCGGCCGTTTGCTTTTAATGATGAACATTAAATTTATTTTCTGCATTTTAATTATTTATTCAATTCTGACTTTTCTTTTAATTGTTTTCGCAGGTAAAATTAAATGAGCAAACAAGAGCATTGGATGGAAGATTTAGAATTAGAATTTAGAAAAATAGCTTTTTATTTACTTTAAGCATTTATGTAATTGTCTTTATAAATATTTTGTAATAACACAATATTTAAATGACAATTGTAATAAATAGAATAAAGTGAATAAAAATTCTATTATTTCTCAATTAATTCTTTTTCTTTCCAATTATTTATTTATTGTTTATAATTCTTTAAATTATATAATGACTGAAAATCAAATCCAATCATTTAAATTCAGAATGATAAACAAATAAATAAATATCATTGATCAATTAATAACTTCAATCATTTACTTTATTATTATTTTTAATTCTTCTAAATTATAATAACTTGAAAAATAGAATTTCAGCTATTTAAATTTAGAACAATAAATAATCAAATAAACATTGCTTGATCAATTAATAGACTCCTTTTCAAATGTTTATTTCATTATTCATAAACCTTTAAATTATATAATAACGGAAAACAAGTTCCCATTATTTAAATTTAGGATAATGAATAATTAATAAACATTATTTGATCAATTAATAAACCTCTTCTCAAATATTTGTTTTATTATTTATAAATCTCTAAATTACATAATAATCGAAAATGAATTCCAATTATTTGAATTTAAGATAATAAATAATTAATGGACATTGTTTAAGTCTTGATCAGTTAATAAATTTAGCGTTCAACAAATAAACAGCTTCCGACTCGAAAAAGTTATGAATTTTTAAACTGCTTTGAAAATTTGATAAAATATGGTCAAAAATCTTGCAATGCGAATGATGCAGATGGAAGACGGTATCTTAGGTCAAAATTTGGGGTACAACAGCTGCCCCTATTTAAGTTCCTTCTATCCGGAGATATGAAGATTAAAATCCTCGTTTCGACGAGATTGAAGGTACTTAAATACATAATTACGCAAATTTTGTCCTAAGATGCCGTCATCATGCAGTGATATGAATGTAGTGCTTGAATTCACAGAGAAAGATATTGTATGAAACAAGACAAATGTTGGAGGAATCGAACACCAACAAAACACAGAGACATGAATCATGCGCTACTGGGAAAACGAGCTATCGACTTCAAACGACAGACTCCTGACAGCGAATAAAATCGAGGGAAAACAACCTCTAACCCTAACAAAGAGAGCATCTTGCATAGGCCATAACAGGTCGTTGATCCAAAACAGTGAGTTCGCAACTCAAGGTCGATGGTAGACAGAGAATGTTAAATTGCGGATAACGGATTACCGACTTCTGGAGGTATGGATTCGTAACAGACCTCTTTGCTAGATTTTCAGAGATATACTCATTAATGCTGAGGTAATGAGACTGTAGATACGAAGGTTGTTCACATAAAGAAAACTGCCATTTGTTGTTGTCCAGAGAAAACACCGATAACATACAAGTTGCTCAAATAAAGAGGCTGCCGCTTGCTGTCGTCCGAAGAAAATATCGATAACATACAAGCTGCTCAAATAAAGAAGCTACCACTTGCTGTTTTCCGAAGAAAAAACCGATAACATACAAGCTGCTCAAATAAAGAAGCTACCACTTGTTGTTTTCCGAAGAAAATACCGATAACATACAAGCTGCTCAAATAAAGAGGCTACCGCTTGCTGTATTCCAAAGAAAATACCGATAACATACAAGCTGCTCAAATAAAGAAGCTACCACTTGCTGTTTTCCAAAGAAAATACCGATAACATACAAGCTGCTCAAATAAAGAGGCTACCACTTGCTGTCGTCCGAAGAAAATACCGATAACATACAAGCTGCTCAAATAAAGAGGCTACCACTTGCTGTATTCCAGAAAAGTAATAACGTACTGGTAACTCATGAAGAGTTTGCTGCTTGTCGCTTTCAGAAAAATAAAAATGACGCACTCGTAGCTCATGAAGAACTGCTGCTCGGCGCTTTCGAAAAGATAAAATGACGCACTAGTAGCTCATGAAGAACTGATGCTCGGCGCTTTCAGAAAAATAAAAAATGACGCACTAGTAGCTCATGAAGAACTGCTACTCGGCGCTTTCGAAAAGATAAAAGGACGCACTAGTAGCTCATGAAGAACTGCTGCTCGGCGCTTTCAGAAAAATAAAAAATGACGCACTAGTAGCTCATGAAGAACTGCTGCTCGGCGCTTTCGAAAAGATAAAAGGACGCACTAGTAGCTCGTGAAGAACTGCTGCTCGGCGCTTTCGAAAAGAATAAATGACGCACTAGTAGCTCATGAAGAACTGCTGCTCGGCGCTTTCGAAAAGAATAAATGACGCACTAGTAGCTCATGAAGAACTGCTGCTCGGCGCTTTCGAAAAGAATAAATGACGCACTAGTAGCTCATGAAGAACTGCTGCTCGGCGCTTTCGAAAAGTAACGTACAAGTTGCTCGTGAAGAGCTAACACTGGTCGTTTTCCAAAAATAACTCAGACGGAAATTGCGATGACACTGGCAGAGAATAAAATCTTCATCAAAGAGAACCCTGAATCAATCCTTCCCGAGGAGATCAAATATTTAAACGTGCAAAATAAATGCACCAACTGTCTGGGTCGCGATTTCACTGGGGAAAATCAAAGAGTATAGCCTATGCAAGAGGCAGCAACTTCATCCAGGAATAACCAGAGAGAAAACAGTCAAACAAGACTCCTCCCAATGAGAAAGTAACTCGATTAGGGAAATTATCCTATCCAGAATGGACAAGGTAAACTAAATCAACAGTCATCCACGAGGATTAGCTCAGTTGGGGAATTAGAAAGGAGGCACAATTTATGCTTAAGTTGGCACTCTATTTGGAAAGATCAAAGGTGCTATTTGAAAAGACACAACCAAGGTGTACGAACTCAATGACATCAACAAATACAACTGTGCGTGCATGATGCAAGTGTGAATGAATGTCACGTGTATGCTGACAAAAACGACAGGGGAGATGGACAGAAGATGATAAGACATCACAGTACAACCCGACACTCGACTAATCTCAAAAGGAAGGGAACATCACTGGAGATAGAAGACAAAAGCCAACAAAGGAGCAAAGTCAACCTACAAAGCTCAAATCTCTTGGAGAGGAAGATATTTATCCCAAAGTCCAGTCTTCTATTGTCGACAACCCAATGAAAGGATAACGACACGAATAACGTTTCAGCTGAAAAAGAGTCATGCTTAGCTGGAGATACTGGGAACACCACCCTCTGATAAAGTGTGCGATACATAACACACATTCTGACAAGTCTAGATTGCCCCTGGGACCAATATTGGATGCCCCAAACTCACTGCTGATGAGCTGCATGTTGCACGACAATTCTTACAAGTAGCTTC